ATATTTGTCAGACTAATGGGTTAGACTTTCTATTATATATAAACAATAAAACACCAAAATATTACACCTATATGCTGTTTCTTATTCGAGTGTAAGCAAATCATCCAAACAGGAATTATATTTTGCTGACATTCAAATTAAATGCATGCACTATAACGCTATAGCCTAGCAGAAAAATGTAGCTTTATTGATATTTGGAAGGCTAATATGGGTTTACTAATATTCTGTCTAAACTGATATCAAATATTACATGAGAGCCTCATATATCTGTGGTTTAGCCATTATGTAGCACTAGCTTGCATTACAATGCTAGACATTATACTGTATCTTTATTTTGATCTGTCACCTGAGAAGGCTCATGTTGCGCGTGTATCACATCAAACTGAGCTATTTCATTAAAACAACTAAGAATAAAGTAGCAGTCACTGGCTAAAAAAAGCATGGCTTTGTCTTTATCACAAACACACACTTTTCAAGCAAAGTACAAATACAGTACACAGAGTGCCACACATCTGCAGTACTGTATGTACTGTAAGAAAATAGAGCAAAGGTTTCCCCACACACTGCACCATCTTTTCTTTTCTCATGCAGCCTATTTTTCTCCTCCTGATCATCTGAGCAGCTTAAGCTAATATGCAGAACATGTGATTGCTAAAGCAGAAAACATGATTAAGTCTTTCCTCTTTTTTTGAAGAAGACCCTCTGCAGTGCAGAGATCCTGTAGGCTTAGTGAACATTCATCCCTGCTGTCTGGGTCAGGAGACTGTAGTGTTCATGGCTGATTAGTATCAGAGAGGGATTTTATCACGAGGCAGATATTTGTGCTATGAGTCACAATTGATCTTTTGCTGTTACCGATTATTTGTAAAGCTCCTCATCGCATACAAAGTCAAACGGCCTTTAATTTTTACTGCAATTTAATATTTGCAAGCCAATAATTACTGCTGCTTTAACCTCGTGGGACCTGGCGTCCACATATGTGGACATCACATTTTGGGTTATTTAGACCAAAATACTGAATTTTGCTCTACAAAGGCCTGATATCCACTTATGAGGACATTATACTGCTACTGTTCTATCAAAATGTAAAACGAATATGCTCATATGTGGTTCTTACTTTTCTTAAAAACAAAAATAAGGTTAAAAAAAATCTGGTAATTCTTTGTTTTTACATTCATCGGGCCCCAGTGAGACCAAATATCAAAGAGAAATTAAAAATGCATGCTATGGAAGAGTTCGGGTCTTAGGAGGTTAAAGCTTATAGTGCCATGCACTGATTTTATTTGTAATTTCTTGTAATGCCCTTTTTATATATAAATGAGTCAATATACTTTTGGATATATGTCATCAAGATGAGAAAATAAGATAATGGTTATTTTCTTCAAGCAGAAACTCGGAGTTGAACCAAAGTAAAAGCACGAGTACTTTCATTTTGTTGGTATTCCTTCCTCCTGACTGTAACAATGAGAGAATAAGCTATGTGTGATAAGCTTCCTGAAAGATGTTGCAGCAGATTGTATTAAAAGGCTACAGAGGTCAGAGTGTTGTTTTGCTTTCTTCGTGGATTTTGTCAGGAATTTAAATGGCCTGAGCTTCGCTACTGTTGAGTTTTACATCAATATGAGTCGTTCATTTGTCAGAAAATAAACCCTCATCGCTACACTGACCCTGGGACACTTTAGCACATCCACCCAAATCACACAAACATACACACACACACACACACACACACACACAAGCATAAATGCAAGATCATAAAAAATGAAATAATGCTGTGCAAAGGGCTTAGAGGATAATCCAAGCGAGTGGAGTGTACTACATCGTAACAGGAATTAAATTTCCTCTTCATCCAAAAAAGGACATGGCAGCAAGGTTAGGTCAGTGTATGACACAAAGGGATATCGCAACAAATCTGCTCTCTTTACGTTTCCTACCCCACACATCTTTTTTTCTGTATCTACTCATCTTTCTTGTCTTTTTCATTCTCCTTCAGTTGTATTAGTTTAAGTGGCATTTTAGTGTATCCTAATCCGCCAGCATCAGATGGGTGATATTTTTGTGTTAACTTCAGAAAAAGCATCATCCTGTGGCAACGTGTTGATTGCATGTCTCTATCGAAGTGTAAATATCCTATAGTGACACTTAAAGTTAGTTCCCTTGTCAGGTTAGTGGAGGCATGGAGGCATGGAGGCCCTGTAGCGACATGTTCATGATGGAGATAAACATCAATTGCGACAGATGACAAACTATGATATACCAATATGACTTCACACAAGGCACACACATGCTCAACCGCTGTCATACACAGGCCTAATGAAGTCTTTACGGCCCTGGTTAACGGCTATTTGGTGCATGCATTTCACTCCGAGCTAAGTTCACAACAGTTATGCCACAGTTGGCAAACTACCAGGCCCTGTGCACTCACAACATTTTCCAGTTAAGGATTTGTGAGGCATTAATGTGGCGTGGCTTTTGCAGACATCATATGGGTTTCAGGTTACATCAAGATTGAAATCTCTCATAGAGCTACAGTTTGCGCTGAGCCTTAAAATAGAAACAGAATTATGATCCAAATCAAAGTTGTGTGTGTCTTTATAATAATCCAGCGCAATCCATAGAGATTGCAAAATGACTAAAGAGAGCATGCTTGATACTGTACAGTAGTTTCTGAGGTCACCATGGCTCTACTGTGGATCTTAAAATGCATTCACTGGCCATTTAGTGCTTTAATTTCAGGTGTCTCTGGAGGCAGACATTGTTAGTGTTACGCTGGGTTTTACAGATAATCAGTGCCACAAAAAGTTAAAAGCCACATGCAAACTGCACACAGGAATGCCTCGGCCAGATTACGTCGAACTCAGGACCTTCTTGCTGTGGGGCAACAGTGCTAACCACCGTGCCACCATGCTGCCCTCATGACACCAATAGGTCACTTGTCAGATTTTATTTTATGTATACTTTATTGATCCCCGTGGGGAAATTCCTCTCTGGATTTAACCCATTCACTCTGTGAAGCAGTGGGCAGCCACTGGGCACCAGGGGAGCAGTGTGTAGGGATGGTACTTTGCTCAGGGGTACCTCAGGGTAGCCATTCAGTGGATTTAAACCCCCGGCCTTCCGATCACCACTCTACTTACTAAGCTATCCCTGCCCACAAAACTGCTCAAAAGCAACCGAATGTTGTGACTTGTAAACTGAGGTTCATATATAAAGATCTGTGTACTACCTCTTTGAAGTTGTAAAGTTTTTAAGTGCATATTGTTAGGTAAACATATAATAATCCAATTGGCATAAATGACTCATCATTTGGTAACAAAAACAGTTAAAATCCTCGCTATAAAAGTTGAGTTTGCTCTGTGCAAATTGTTTCTGTTTCTCTTGTAATTTCAAGCTTATATTGCAAAGTCAGGTAGATATTTCACCTTGAGGAATTTGTCCTTTAGCATCTGAGAGCTCTGTGCCACTCAGCACTTTTTCCCCCGGACTCCAGAAATCATTATCAGCCACTGTGGGGTATTTAAACAGCAGCCAAGTTGGTACTTTGATTTTTCGTCCTCCTCATCATCCTTAGCTCCCCACGATCTCTCAGAGATGGATGCGAATGGAGCAAAGATTTAGAGGTAATTCATCATTTAATAGGTTTATTCATCATTGTGTGGCAACAGTTGCAATGCTACAACTCAAATTTGTGCGTGGATCATTCGAGCTGGAAAGATTCATATAACGCCTGTGTTTTTTCTCAGTTTGTCCTGAGTCAGCCCACATTTCTCTTGAAATGAAAAAAAAAAAATCAATAATGCTGTAAATTTTGCAGCAGTCAGAATAAGCATGAGTATCTCAGTTTTCTCAATCAAACAAGTGCATTCCAATTCCAAACTAACCTGTAAATCTCATTTTAGAAAATGTCTGCGTTTACAGAGAAAAAAACACCTCTATGCTATAACAAACTGTAACACTAAACCCTGAAATGCTACACTTTTCATCCTTAAGTATGTCTGGGCACATGGCTGTATATTTGTATATCTATATATGTTGAGATATTTATTTGATTACAATATTTCACACTATTCAACCTTCACCATCTGTATAGGAAGCATCTCAATATGCCCCCCAAAAGTAGCACTGATAGTATATAAATTTAATGGTAATAAATCTTAAGTATAAAACAGAAGAAACTGGTAAATATTAAAACAAATTTTCTGCAATATCAACAAATAGTCTGATACAGAAAAAATTAAGAGTTTTGACTCTATTTAGCCTAAATTCCTTTTTGACTTATACGTAGCTTGGCCGAAGTTTCAAATAATTAGGTCACTGTATGTACAAGTAATCCCTGTGAGCTAAAAGCTTCAGGCTTCAGGCTGTTTTAAATGCTTGAGAGGGAATATCCTTAATATGGCCATCCTGGGCACTCAGCTGTGAAGAGATGAGTTTGTTATCCAAACTTTCTCTTTATGAGAGGCAACAATTATGAGAAAGTTGGCTCAAAGCTAAGTTGACCTTAAGGGAAGATAATGACAAAAAACAGCTAATTTCATATGGAGTAGAGAGAAGCATCAAGGCCCAGTATGAGGTAAATAGGTATTATTTTCAATGTTAAATCATGCAAAGCAATTAGAGAGAATAAAAGTATGGGGTTTTGGAGCTCCAGAGTCTTCAGAGTATGGACATTGATTTAGTAACTTAGTGACTAAGGTGTGGAAAACATGTAAACACTTGAATATATATTAGCCTTTATATATGCTCATAATAAGTGCAATAAGTAAGACGGTATGTTTGGCAGTTCAACTTATTTTGATAAAGTGTCTCCTTCTGATGAACCTGCCACTCATTCAGGTGTATAATTCAGTTTATTTCAGCTTGCTATATGTTTTATGTTTAAAAGACAAGCAAGGGCAACATCATCCACTTGACTTTAAGGGGGTGTGTGCATGGAAAAACTAGGTGTTAAATAGAAGGTCAGTATATATGATCACATCACAAGGCACAAATAAACCTACCATTCATGCCATTATAGATGCTCCGATGATGTGGTGACAGCTCGTCTCCAGCCGGCCTCCTCTGCCCTTCTCTCACTGGGCTGCCAAACTTCACATGGTCAGGGCTCATGCTGTACTGGTGCCTGTGAGTTTCCGGGCTGCCCCCCTGGATGAAACAGCCCTTTTCATGGTGCTCTCCAGTCCCCAAATGTGCCTGCCGGGGCTCTGGGCTTCCGCATCCTGTACTACTGATGCTGCTCCTGTTGTGCCGCTGATAGAGCTCCCCGGTGCCTCCCTGACCTAGGAAGTGCTGCCTCTGGCCCAGGACGAGGTCAGAGCTGTGGTGCTTGGGGTGCTGCTCCGGACTTCGGTGGCCCACGTTCCTTCCATATTTTTCGGGACTAAGGCCCCGCATGACCCGACTATGGTCAGGCACAGATATAGAGCCGCAGCGGGGCCGGCAGAGCTGAGGGAGGGTGTATGGGTACTCCAGGCTTGTACTCCGATGGCGCCCAGCTGGGTGATCAGGACTGGACACCTCCCTGTCTCCTCCAATTACACCTCCTATTCCACTGATGCTGCTACACCTGGGTTTATGCAGAAGCTCAGGGCTTCCTTTTTCCCCACCACTGCCAACCCCACCCACTCCTGCAGCCAGGTGAGGCTGTTTATGGTGAAGGTGATCAGAGCTGTCAGCACTCCCTGCACTGGAAGTGCTGCTTCCATCCCCTACGTCTCTCATTAGCAACCCCTGGCCAGGCACTAGCAGCAAGCTATTCTGGCTGTCTATGGAGTTACGGCACCCTCCCATTCCCACACTGCCTCCACCTCCACTTCCTCCAATGCCACCTCCACCACCTACTACCCCCTTTTCTTCATCCAGTAGAAGACAGAGCTCCTTCAGCTCCAGGTTCTCCCGGATTACCTCTTCTTGTCGAAGCTCTAGCTCCTTGAGTTTCTGGAGGTAGAGGGTCACCTCTTTACGCATTATGCTGGCACTGTAACGTCCGAGACGTTGCCACTCTCTGGACACACGCTTTCCTTTTTGACGATCATCATCTAAGAAGCAGCACAAGTCCCGCAGCTCACGATTGTCCTCCTGCAGCTTCTGGTTAATGTCCTGTGAAAGCAAGAAGAGAAATAATAGAAATTTAGAAATTAGAAAAGAGCGACACACAGTTTACGTGTATGAACCAGAAAGCCTGAGGAAAAAAAATGCTCCTTAAGGAACACAAATTAGTTTTTGAAATGTTGCAAAACAAAGTCATTTTTCATGGGTTACTTAACTTCGACTAAATCACTCAAGCCATTGTGCAATTTGAATACATTTCACTGCTCTTTCAGATAGCAATCAAATGGTGTATGCAATCATAATGAAATTAAATCCTAATCCTACGTCCTTTCCCATAAATGCAGTGACTCACTGTGTACCATGTGAAATACATAATGTAAATTAGAATCATCTGGAGGACAGGAAAAGGCCACACAGAAATGAGGCAAGGTCATAAACATTTCATACTAAGCAACATTTACTTAAGGATTCTTTCTTCACCTCCAAGAGACCTCCTTCTTTTCTCCTCTTCTGTAACAACTTAACTCTCCGCTATCCTCCATCTCCTACTTACTCCCCCTTTTGTACCCTCCAGCTCTTTCCTGTGTAATTAGGCTGCTTGGATGGGTGGAGAGGTGACGAGGTCTCCAAGAAAAGCAAATGATCCCAATGTGCTTCAGCTGAGACAACCCCAGGCTGATTCTCAGAATTTAACTGTAAACACTGTGGACACTGTGCAATAATTATTTTATTAGAAAATGAAGGCACTGGGTAAAGGTTACTGAAATGGAGAAAGCCTGCATACAGTTTCAGAGCATCTGCCACTCGATTCTCTGTTCCACTTGCTGTAGATTTATGTGAAGGAATTTTTTTAGGAATCTAAAGTATGCGAAGACAAGATCAGATTTGAGCACTGCATGAACAAATCCACTGATTTATTGACGGACATTACTGTTAGAAGAAAGCATTTTTAAGTGAAACCTACTGGTCATTGCTCTATCTGAGTGGAAAGGGCACAGCTTGGTATTGATTTTGCTAACAAGCACAAACATCCCTTCCCTTTTTAGTTCACTTTAAAAGCCCGTATTTCCCACCTCAAAAAAGTTAAAATGGAAACTAGAGGCTTTTATTAGCTCCTGCATGTGCAAAACTGCACATATACTTTACATCCATCTAAACCCAAATTATCGCATATGACCCATGAAATGGCACACTGAACTTCAGATATACCATCTATTCTCACACCATGTTTGCAGAGGCGCTCTCTAAACAGCAGAGCATTGCTCCTGCTATGCGCGTTCTCAGGTGTGCTCCAAGCCTATGATCTCATCCTTCACCGATGCGCGCCCCCTCACCTTCAGCCCCCTGATTTCGTTTAAGTGCAGCTGGAGGCTACGATTGACCTCCCGGATGAGATTCCCGTGGTCCAGAATCACGCTCATCTTGTCGGCCTCAGACCGCCTGAGTCGGCGCACCAGATCCTCCTTGGTCCACTTGAGCAGTTCCTCGTCAGTCAGACCGGAGATGTCCTCTGCTGGACTTTCAGTCTTCGCTATCGAGAGCTGAAGCCCAGGCTGGGGCGGTGGAGTCGCTTTCTCCATTGGCACAGCTCCTCCGGTACCGACAAAGAGCAGAAAATACTTAGAGGCTCGCTGGCAACCTCTGCTCGCATCCGCTCCCCGGTCGACTTAGGGTGGAAACGGTTACGGATTGTAAATCAGTCGCATAGTTTGGCCTTTTCTGTTGCTCCCCACTCTTCCACTCTCTTCCTAGAGCAACAGCTGACGATGCCGGCTGGGCGCGATACAGCGGAGAAGATGCTCTACTATCACTGCAACATCCTCACAGCCGAAATGGACTCTGTGCGCAGCCGATATGCATTAGAATCCAGATTCTGTCGGTCAGGTGGTCAAAGTGAGAAAAGCTTCGGTTTACACACACACCTGCCGCATCTAGGCTCAGCACACTGTGAGAAAGAGGAGATAGTCCGCTGTGCACAGCAGAAACACAGGGAGAGGAAACAGCTCTCCCCTTTCTCTCCCCCTCCCTCTTTCTCTCCAGGTCTCTCCCTCCGGGGGCTTGAGCCTCACCGAAATCATAGTTTGGTTGCAGCGCCACCTAACGTTCAAAATTATTGCAAACTGTTCTGAAATGCTTCGTTAATTACCTCTCGGATTCGCTTGAAATTACAGGGGGTACTCTGAAGTTAAGATTCTGGTACTTTCTCCAAACGACATAATTTCTGCAAGTGTGACGATTTAGGAGAAAACATAGGCTGTATAAGCGCCAAAATATAATAATAATAAATGAATTAATAATCAGGTTTACAGGTTATACTCTAAAACTTAACAACAGGCTATCCACTGATGTCCGTAACCTCACTCGACTGCCTCATGTTGCACCGTGTAGTCCTTTAAGTTTAAATTACTGTCTGTGATTTTCATATTGTAAGCCGCTGATATTTTAGATACCGGAACTTTCCTCTGTGGGAAATAGGTAGGTATGGTGTAGCTATATTAAGTGGTTTGGACCAAAAGTCCCCATATTTGAGCACAAAAAATAAATAATAATAATAGTAATAATGCTTTTGTTGATGTTCATCTATTTGTTTTCTTCTTTTATACACCCCAACTACACCAATAGAAGTGAGTAGTAGTAGTAGAAATAGTAATGAACTCTAAAAACCAAGAATGGGTAGTAACCGTTAACCATTTGTTCATTTTTGAACATATTGACGACTGTGTGTAGGAAACAATTTTTTAAAAAAAATCATATATTTGAAATTAACAGTAACTTTCGAAATATATATAAGGCAAAGCATGTGGTTCATTATTTCTCTCTGAAATTTAGTAAAGTAGAAGAAAAGTGGCATACAGCTGAAATACTCATTAGTACATCAATGTACATGTGTCAGTACAGTGAGATAATACAAGTCCCGCACAACTGTCGAACAACACGTTATCACACAGTACAAAATTTTCGGTGGACATAACACGCTCTACAACTATGAGATTATCGGAGTTTAAGTTACTGCTGCAGTGGATCTAAACAACTCATTTTCCCATAGTTGTACGCTTCCGCTGCATACGCTGAGCATGACGTACGAACGTCATGGAAATACGAGCCAATAGGACACGCCTGATCTTGGAGTAACACGTCATTCTAGTGGAGTGCATACCCGGCTGATAGGGAGTGATCTCGTCAACGTCGTCTCCGTGTCCTCTCGGGCATCTGTCTCCATTTACCTCCAGATGCTGTAACTCGTTTCGAACCGAACAGTTTCTTTATTGTTGTCCATACCTAAGCTCAACTTAATATAAAAGGTAAGAGCTCGCCTTAAATTTCTTCGAAAGTAGACCGCCCGAATTCAGCTTTCATTTACGAAGGAACAGGAAGTAGGTTAATGCTACATTCCGTTAGCTAACCCGGTGTCGTTAGCATGCAGATGAGTGCCAGAGAAGTAAAGAGAGCCGGTTTTACAGCGAAGATTAATAAAATAAGGCCAACTGTTAAACTAGTCTGTCTTCTATAAACGCCACTGCTGTTATGTTGTGTTTTGGCTATCAGCATACAAAGCGTAAATAAGCATTTGAATGAGTACGAGTTCTGATAAAGACCAACTCTCACTGGTGGCTTCGTTGCTTATAATACGTGGCCTGTGTGTTGTGTTGAAATCTATTCAGATTCATAAAATTCGAAAAGTTGCTTAAAATTTTGACTTTTCTTTTGTTTTTTCCATATTTCCTTGTACTTTGTTTAAAAAAAATAATTTTTTTTTAAAAGGACAATCTTTTCCTCATTCCAAACTTGAATATGTCATTAGATTGTGCGGGGGCTTTTTAGTTTCTTTGCCTTAAGCATTGCAACCTTAAGCGGTCAGGTGTAGTAGTAATAGAGTTGAAGAGAAATTCGAGTCATTAATTTGGTGACAGCATTAATAAAAATAAAATACACAGAAAAACAGTATTTGCAGAAATTAGTTGTCATTCCCAAATATTACACTCAGTAAGGAAAGTTTGTGTATGAAGTGCATTTTGTAAACAATGAAAGTGCATGCTTTCAATAATTTACAACAATAGATCAGTTAATCAAAGAATAACAATAGCCTGCATACCTAAACTACTGCAAAGTGGCTTAGAGCAATACAACAAATGAGTAAAAAAAACCAATAGATTTCCCTGTGAATATAAATTAGTTGTACAAGTTCATCTTAGTTGTGTGAATCTATACTACCTTTTCTGTTTGTTTTATGAGATGAGAATTTTCTGGACCCTGTGCTGTCAGTCTTGGCTCTGGGGTATGTTGTAACACATAAGTTAGTTGGCTGAACTGGGAAAAAATTACAACAGATAATGTAATGTGTAAATAATAAAAACTCTTATATAATTTAATCCACGTTAAACACGTTGCATGCTTTTGCAGTCCTTTGATGTTTATTCTTGACTATGCAGCTTCACATAGTCATGAGAAAGAATGAGAGTATACAGTTGCTACAACAGCATGCTTGGCAATGATTTGCAAAAGGCGTCACCAATTTTTCAGTGACGTCCGCTAACAAAGGTAGAGCTTTAAAATACCTGCAGGATTCCTCCGCACTCTTTGAAAACTTGCTGGTCAGGTTTTCTAATGTTAAAATTTGTGCGTCATGCTTTCGAAAATCCGTTCCTTTTTATAGCACACGAGAGAAAAGATCACAGGTATAAAGAGTAGACGCTGACTGCAGCTAGCAGAAGAAAGCCAGTACACAGCAGAGAGGGAACATCGGAAGATTTGGAGTGGTACCGTTTGGATTACCACTTTCACGCTTATTATTTTAATTCTTCAGCGGGACTGATAATCTCACTGTGTTATTTTGGGGGATCTTTTCCTTCTGAAGATCAGTGATGACAACCTACCAGGAGTTCATTCAACAAAATGAGGACAGAGATGGGGTGAGATTCAGCTGGAACCTCTGGCCCTCGAGCCGCCTTGAAGCCACCAGGCTGGTAGTCCCTGTCTCCTGCCTCTTCACACCTCTCAAAGAGAGGCCCAACTTGCCACCGGTCCAGTATGAGCCAGTTCTTTGCAGCCGGGCCAACTGTAAGGCAGTGCTCAACCCACTATGGTGAGTTTCACAGAAAAACAGTACTCTAGCTTATAAAGTGTATCCTTTTGAATGTTTATTTTAATCATGCGTTTTGGTATATGTATGTGATATAATTTCCTTGACTTTTAGTATTTTAGTTTCATCATTTAAAGCCACAGATGTCTGTTCCTGACATTTATTTACTAAAGTGTTATATTTGCAAATGTAAATGTGAGTGAAAGGAGATGCAGGGATTTGAATTTGACTTTTCTTCCTAACACATCAGCACTTCTAAATGCTGAGGTGTTCTTAGTATTGGGTGTGGTGCATGAGAACTGCAAACACTAAATACACCTTGTGTATATTTCAGTCACAGCCACGCTTATGACAATTAGATACAACCTCTATTTTCTTACTTTTATTCTTATTTTTTACAGTCAAGTTGACTTCAGAGCAAAAATATGGGCCTGCAACTTCTGCTTCCAGAGAAACCCTGTAAGTACTGTGGCTGAGAGCATAGTTTAGTCTTGCTGCTATTTGAAACATATCGCTGCCAAAACGTGTCTCTGCATTCATAACTTAATGCTGATGAACTACATTCCTTTTTTAGGTTGGTTAATCTTGATATCTTTCTGTGTGCGTGTGTGTGTGTGTGTGTGTGTGCGCAGTTCCCTCCCTCTTACGCAGGCATATCAGACGTGAACCAGCCAGCTGAGCTTATGCCACAGTTTTCTACAATTGAGTACATAGTACAGGTAAATACTGCATACATGTCTGCACTCTGACCTTAACAATTTGTATTAAGTCCAGAAGATGTAAGGTATAAAGGTCAACATTAACAGTTTTCAGTAGTATCACATATGTTTTTTTTAGGGATGCCTTATTTTTGACAGTGACAGATGTAATAACAGAAAAGTAGACCTAAGTTAAATTATACAGGTGGCTGTAATAAACATTTTAAATGGTAATTAAAAAAGCAAAACCACTTTGAGCCTGACGTCTGTTGTGGTTGGCATTTGTAACAATACTACTACTAGTTTATAATGTGTAGTGTATTCAGAAAGTATGACTATGAGCTTCTGATGTTCACATGCCATCTCTGCTAGTGCCGGTAATATAGAAATATATACGAAGCAAGCAGCAAACCACACAGCACCACATGAAAAGGAATGCATAAACAATAGTCTCAATTGTTTTTCACTATGTGATTATGACTGTTTGGATACAATGTGATTTCATCAGTTTTTGACTTTAGTCTCCTGCCTCTTTACAGCGTGGTCCTGCAGCTCCTCTCATTTTCCTGTATGTGGTGGACACATGTTTGGAAGAAGAAGATCTCCAGGCTCTCAAGGAGTCTCTCCAGATGTCTCTCAGTCTGCTGCCCCCCAACGCTCTTGTGGGCCTCATCACATTTGGCCGCATGGTTCAAGTTCATGAGCTGAGCTGCGAGGGGATTGCTAAGAGCTATGTGTTCCGAGGCACCAAGGATCTTACCGCCAAACAGATACAGGTAAGTCCAGCCAAAGGCCTTTGGTAGTCTGGTGTGAGTGACACACTTATTAGGGGGGAAAAAACAGCAAGTCCATTTAGATTAAAAAGTACAAAAAACAAGGTTAGCTATTGTTAAACGTGTAAAACCTTTGCTTTTCATTTCAGGAGATGCTGGGTTTAACAAAGCCAGCTGTAACAGGACAACAAGGTCGTCCTTTGGCCCCTCAGGATGCTGCTGCCACTTGCAAGTACGTCGGAGCACAAACAATTCATGTTTGTCAGTTGATGGTTATTGTTTACAAAAAAAGCAAAGCACTTTTTTTTTTTTTCTAAAACATGTGCGTGTGTGTCTTATATTCAGGTTTCTTCAGCCTGTGCATCGAGTCGATATGAATCTGACAGATTTGCTGGGAGAGCTTCAGAGAGACCCGTGGCCTGTCCCTCAGGGTAAACGGCCACTCCGATCCACTGGTGTTGCGCTGTCTGTCGCTGTCGGCCTGCTGGAGGTACGAAAGACTAAAAAATATCTCATACATTAAGTGCATACAAGTGATGCTGTACTGTCAATAATCTGAAATGGAACACATAAAGCCATTTATGATCACAGAAACAGTCATTTACAAGGTTTATCTACAACTAAAGCAAATACAGTAATTCACAGCAACCTGAACTTTAGCTTCTTAAAGACAATTGTGCCACATGTACCTCTTCCGAACAGCACACGCTGTCTGATAATGATCAGACAAACAGTAAATATTCTCTGTCCGTTCAAAGGCTGTTACCTATTTGCCTTGTGCTTTTTTTTTTTTTCCCTCCACTGTCAACCACCCTTTTTGTACTGCTAATCTGTGTGGTTATATAACTGATAGTACAACAGAACATTCCCCAGCTGTACTAGAATACATTTTGCTCTTTCACTGACTTCAGATTCACTGATTTGTCTTAAGGGATATGACTAAATGAATGAGTCTTTTATTTATTTATTTTTTTCCATGTAAAGGAGAACCGCAAACAGCTTTTGGCATCAAGTATCAGCTGGCTCATTTGTTTGTTCTCTTTGAATGATAACTCTTTGTCCCTTTGATAAATGAATCAGCCTTTATATAGAATGTGTTATCAAATACAGACATCATATTTAAAACAAATTCCTGCTGCTTGGTGGCTACTTGGTTGAGTTCCAAATATTTCACTACCTCAGACCTTCCCAGACTCTTGGACTCTGGACCTCACTGTTGGAAGAGTTGGTTATGAAGTCTGCCCTTTGCTTACACGTGTTCCTTGAACCATTTATTCTAACTCGTTCCCTTAATTCAACATTTATGCTTTTATGGTTCATTTTCAAATGGACTGGTTAATGATGTTTTATTTTGTGATGTAAATTCCACTTGCACATATTGGTTGTTATAAAAGCAAAAAAGTTTTGACAATATATTTTACATGAGATCGCAGAGTTGCTGAATGTTAACTTGGGGTATAATGATACTTGCACTAACTGAAGTCCATTTCCTGTCTCCTCAGGGTACATTCCCCAACACAGGGGCTCGTGTGATGCTTTTTATTGGAGGACCACCCACCCAGGGCCCTGGAATGGTGGTGGGAGATGAGCTGAAAACTCCAATTCGTTCCTGGCATGACATCCAGAAAGACAATGCTCGCCATCTGAAAAAGGCCACCAAGGTAAGCATGCAGTAGTACTTGTATTTGATTGAAACCTTTCCTTGCATATTACATAAATTTAACGTGTTTGTTTGTTTTTCACAGTATTATGAAGCCTTGGCCAATCGTTCAGCAACAAATGGCCACAGTATTGATATCTATGCCTGCGCCCTAGACCAGACTGGACTGCTTGAAATGAAGTGCTTATCTAATCTCACTGGGTAAGTAAGCACTATTTATTACATTCATTGAAGGTGTGTAATTGCATTAGTATGCCCTTTTAAAAAATAATTAAGAATCTTGACAATTTATTGTGCTGTGTTTCAGGGGGCACATTGTGATGGGAGACTCCTTCAATACCTCATTGTTCAAACAAACCTTCCAGAGAGTCTTTAGTAAGGACTACAATGGTGACTTCCGCATGGCCTTTGGAGGTGTCCTGGAAGTCAAGGTAAAGGCTTGATTTAGTCCTTTGAGTTATACGTGTGATTACTTTCTATATTGGGATTTGTAATGATAGAACAAAGGTAACATATATTAGCTGTTGAAAACGTTAACTGTATTTCTTTCTCTGTCTGGCTTTATAGACCTCGAGAGAGCTGAAGGTTTCCGGTGCAATTGGACCGTGTGTTTCACTCAACTCAAAGTCTCCCTGTGTATCAGAGAATGTGAGTGACTGACCCAGATATGATTTGGATTCTTTACTGTCATGTTGAGTAATCTGGGATATTTATCAAATTGCACTCTCTGTTTTGTGCAGGAATTGGGCATTGGTGGCACCAGCCAATGGAAGGTGTGCGGTCTCAACCCCTCCACTACTTTGGGCATCTATTTTGAAGTTGTGAATCAGGTAAAATAAGAACTTGAACCTCAGCATTTTAGCTAGATAGAATTACAGTAAGCTGATAAGAGTGGAAATGTTAGGACGCCAAACAATGAATAGTTGTAATGAAGAATTGTGGCTTTGTTTAGTAAAAGATTCTTCAAACAAAGGCTTTTTGTGTCTCTGTATAGGTTTTTCTTTTCTTCTTTTTTTCCCCCCTTTCCCAGTAAAATAGAAATGATTGTCGACTGCATTCTTACTGTTTCTACTGTTTTGTGTTTGCAGCACAATGCACCAGTCCCTCAGGGCGGACGTGGGGCAGTCCAGTTTGTAACCCAGTACCAGCACTCAAACACACAAAGAAGGATACGGGTCACCACCATCGCCAGGAAGTAAGACTCCTTATTGTTCATCTAAATTGATATGAAACATGATTAACTAGACTGCACCTAAAAATGCGCTTAAATTTGGTATGTTCTTACCAAACCGGTTCCTCTTAATAAAGATAATGTCGGGTGTGTAAAATGATGGTTTAATGAGCCTCCAATGCACCCAAGAGAATGACAGCTGCCACCATTTCATTGTTCATCTAAATGGATGTGAACCATGGCCAACTAGACTGCACCTAAAATGTACTTAAATTTGGTATGTTCTCAATAAAGTAATTGCTGGGAGTGTAAAATGTTGGTTTAATGAGGCCAAGAGAATGACAACTGCATAAATATTTTCCTCTCTAGAAAGGATGTTTGCATTCCTGCAATTTAGACCAACGCCTTTGAGACCTGTTTGCATGTGCGTCATGTACACCACACCTATTCTGACCTCTGCTTCTCTGGTTTCTTCTATTCTTCTTATCTCTATCCCTCCCATTCTCTTTCTCGCTTCTCTTTCTTTCTTTAACTACTCCAGCTGGGCAGATGCCCAATCTCAGATTCAGCACATTGAATCATCCTTTGACCAAGAAGCAGCTGCAGTGCTCATGGCCCGCTTGGGCGTCTTTAGGGCAGAGTCTGAAGAGGGTCCTGATGTGTTGCGTTGGCTTGACAGGCAGCTCATCCGCCTGGTAAGTGACACTCCTACCTAGCAGCGTTTGCAACATGTTAACAATACATAGTTGGAATACTTCCGATACCCGTGTTGTGAATAGTGTTGATATTTATCTATTGTGACTCCTGATGTGAACGTCATGCATGGTACGTATTTAAACCACGTTATCTTGTTCCTTTGTTTCAGTGTCAGAAATTTGGCCAGTTCAACAAAGATGATCCGACATCTTTTAGACTGTCAGAGTCTCTGTCCCTCTATCCACAGGTAATTTCTTTCAAATGTAGCCATTATTATGATTATCATACTCCCCCCTAATTTAATTCAGTTATGCTGGAATACTCTGCTAGGAAAAACAATGTGAACATTGTGTGAACATTTTTCTCTCCTACACCTACAGTTTATGTTCCACTTGCGACGGTCACCATTCCTGCAAGTTTTCAACAACAGCCCAGATGAGTCTTCCTACTACAGGCATCACTTTGTCAGGCAAGACCTGACCCAGTCCCTGATCATGATCCAGCCCATCCTCTACTCGTACTCCTTCCACGGACCACCAGAGGTCAGCCTCATACGCTCAACACTATCATCCTATCATCAATGTTTTGTGTTACTCACTGGCAGCTGAACAGCCAGCTCCTAGCAAAAGTGTTTATATTTTTGTTGCTAAATCGTTGTGCATTGTGTCATGGATGTGTTACAGCCTGTGCTCCTGGACAGTAGCAGTATCCTGCCAGATCGAATCCTGCTGATGGACACCTTCTTCCAGCTGGTTATCTACCATGGAGAGGTAAGGCAGCAGATTTTTCAACAAATTATCCATTAAAAATGTTATTTTATATGCTTAAACTATTTACACAAAACTCTGCATGTTGTGATGCATTTGGATTTTTTTCTCTTTTTTTGTTCCAGACCATTGCTCAATGGCGAAAAGCAGGCTACCAAGAAATGGCAGAGTATGAGAACTTCAAACAGCTGCTGCAGGCTCCACTGGATGACGCTCAAGAGATCCTACAGACACGCTTCCCCATGCCACGCTACATTGACACTGAGCACGGAGGCTCCCAGGCTCGCTTCCTGCTCTCCAAGGTCAACCCATCGCAGACCCACAACAACCTCTATGCCTGGGGACAGGTACAGTATTAAAATATACTGTTTTATTTGCATTTGCATTTGAAACGTTTGGACTGAAATTCTCAACTAGCCTGTTTTGTTTTTAGTTTAATGAAAGGCACCAAATTTGCAGTTTTACTATAGTTATATCTTTTGCGCTACATTCAAATATGTAAATGTAAAATTCTCAAATGTAGTGGATTTGTCTCCTGCCTCATGCATACATTTTTTTTTATTTTCCATAAAGTTTTCATTTCATCTATTGGTACAAGTATAGACTAAAATCCCAGGATTGACTTTAAGTCTTCTGAGACATCCACCCTGATTGTTTTTCACCCACAGGACAGGCAAACTGTCAGTAAATACAGGTCTTGGATAAGCTAACCTGTAGAAGATTGCAAGCTGAAAATAGCACTAATCTCTTATTTCCCAAGTCAAGGAAGTGCTTTGTACAAATACTGCAAGAAAAGGAGAAAATCTACGGAAGTCTGAGAATAGGATTATCACCAGAGCGTGGTCTTGCATAAGCCAATCTTCAAAGCGGGGCATTTTGCTCATTAAAGTGGTCAGAGTTATGTCGTGATGAGATGTGTTTGCAAAGTGAGTAAATCACCATTTTTGCTCCTCCCTTGTTCCAATAGGAGACAGGAGCCCCAATCCTTACTGATGACGTGAGCCTGCAGGTCTTCATGGACCACTTGAAGAAACTGGCTGTTTCCAGCTCAGCATAGAACTCGCTATTCCACCTCAAAGAGAAAAGAATTGATACAGCATTTTTCTTCCATCGGGATCCATTAACATTTCTGCAGTTTTGTAAAGGAGCCAAACCGAGACAGTCTACTGTTTGTGCTTGTTTCAGTTTGCTGTTTGGAGGCCAATGTGATGTTTATACGACACAAAAAAGGGTGATGGCACATTGGTATATTAAAAAAAAAAAGATAGTAATAACATGTCTACTCATTTTCAATAAACAGCTTATTTATGAGAAATGTTTCTAGTTCTCCTCAACCAAACTGTCCTCATATCAATAATATCCCTACTTCTGTTTAATATTTGGTATTACCTATGAAATGCAGAATGATTAGACTAATACTTTCATCTTTTTTTTTTATAAAATATGTATCTACTGCATCAGACTGTGTATAAGGTTTAATAAGATGATTATTTGTGTCTGCTTTTGTCTATAGCTAAATTTGACATGTCTAGAAATGTTTTCATTAATAAATTATAATGGTACCACTTGTTTAAAAAATATCCGCAATGCTGTACTGTCTTGGTGCTGATTTCTTGTCCCGATCCAATCCAACTTTATTTATACAGCACTTTAAAAACAACGTGGTTGACCAAAGTGCTTTCCAGTGAAAAACTGAGTTCGCTCAAAACAGCGTTCCTCCCTGTCCAAGATGTGTACATCCTCATCCTTGAAAGAGTGTCCACTGGCCTGTAGGTGTAAATAGACTGCAGAGTCCTGGCCAGTACACATCTTGGACAGGGAGGAATGCTGGTTTGAGTGCGGAGTCAAGGAGGCCATTTACGTGAAAAGGGAAAGACCATCTCTGAATCGAGGAGGGCCCTAAGGGTACGTCTTTCGCCATCTTACAATGCTGTGATTGCAGCCATTCCCCAACTCTCTGTGAATGGTACTCATGGCCATTGATCAGTGGTTGTTGATCAATGGTCATGAGAATTTGCATAATTAAGATTAAGGAACTGACCTACCAGTCCATTGTTCCTTCAGTGGGCTGGTTTCACTCATTATGCAAATGTGCTGTTTATACGATTTGGGGAAATCTGCAGTCAGCTGAGACTGAAGAAGTCACTTGGATGAGTGACGAAACGTTTCTCCCTCAAAACGCTACGTCCAGATGAACAGAATCAACTTTTGGAGATTTACTTACCTGGATGATTGAGCATGCATCAAGAAGATCTTAAATGTTTTCTGTGGATTTTCTCTCCCTGAATAATTCTGAGTAATGGAAGTGGGGTGTGAATGAGACACGGCGGGTCCAGAGATCATAGTTTTGAGCCATCTTTATTGACTGCGGCTGCCAGCCGCACATGCATCACACCACAATGCAACTTGCAGCTCCAGTTACCTCCGTGCAGGTGCGTCCACACGGCACCGCAGTCCACGCCCCACCACAGGAAGTTAATCAGTTCAGCTCAGCTGTGACTGAGTATGTTCTCTATGACAAACATTTAGATATTCTTTTTTAGAGTGTACTATAATCCTGTCCTATTCACTATCTCATTCTCCACAACCCAGGTGCACTGTCAGGTGTCTCCTGAACTCAAACTTTATTATATTGTACAGCTGTGTAAAAGACTGTTGCTGTTTTTTGTAGAACAGGGAAACCGCATAGTCTTTCCTTGCACTTGTATATTAGGTGTAAAATCATGTTTTGTCATCAGCTCTGGATTTTCTCTTGGCAAACATGCTCAGTGCAGACACCAAGGTTCTTGAACAGAATAAAGAATACTCTTTACTGTCTAGCACTGCAAATATGAAAGGTTGCGTGCAAGTGTGAGCACTGGAATGGCATGAACCGTGCTGCTGCTACAGTCTACATCCTCTGTGCAGATTGGACGCAACACCCAATCCCCAAACAATTGTCTTTTTTTTTTTTTTTCATTCACTGCTACTGTATGAAAAGCCCACATAGAACACAATCCCAATCATAAAACCACTCACACACCATCTACTATCACTGTAAGCTGATTTCAGAGCACCCAGACCGTATGATTTCGAGGATCAGTGAACGGCAGATTATGAAGACTAATCCTTAGGGGCTATCTGTTTAGAGGCACATTCTACTCTTAGCAGCTTTAAGTGGAAGTTGCTGTGGAAATACAAATGAATGCTGTGTCTGTCAAGAGCTTAGCCCTTACTATGTGCGCTATGAGACTGCATATGCTTTAAAGGTATTCATGACCAAATCAAAACATAAGTGCAATGACTTTTAATCTCTTTTGACATGGGTAGCTGTGCATACTATCAAAATATCCTTGTAAATCTATGCATTTTGCAGTTAAAAATTGCTATGCTGCATGTATTTTGTGGTCATATAGAACACGGATATGAAATAATCTCCTGAAGGAAAATTTGTGTCTGTTAATCTGTGTGTCTATATACTTGGTCATCTTGATTCGTGCAAAAGCTGTCACCCAAAGATGTTCCAAGGGACAAAAGAACATTACAATTGCTTTTAATGCTTTAGTTTTTTTCCTTTTTTTTCTCTTCTTCCATCAATGATAATTCATGACGCTTGTGCCCTAGGCTTAGGAAAAGCTGTAAGGAAATGTGCCAACTTCTTTTCTCCTATCGAATCATAACATTTCAGTTGTATTTTTCTATTCCAGCAACTAGAAAAATCCATTCTGGCTTCTGTGCCTGAAAGCTAAGATGTCTATGCACTACCAGTCGAAAGTTTGGACACACCTTCTCATGGTTTCTCTCGTGGCTTTTCTTTATTTTTACTGCTTTCTACATTGTATATACAAACTGAAGAGATCAAATATATGAAGCAAGATATATGGATTTACGTAGCAAGTAATTATATTTTAGATTATATTTTTGAAATAGCCACCCTACACTTTGTTGACGGCCCTGCAAACCCTTGGCCTTCTCTCGATGAGATTTATGATGTAGTCATCTGAAATGGTTTTCACTTCACGGTGTGCCTTTTCAGGGTTCATTTGTGGAATTTTTTGCCTTCTTAATGGGGTTGGGACCAGCAGGTGTGTTGTGCAGAAGTCAGGTTGGTGCACAGTAGACAGTCCTATTTGACAACTATTAGAATTCCTATTATGGAAAGAACCAATCAGCTAAGTAAAGAGAAATGACAGTCTAAAAGGAAATGAACTGAAGGTCTAAAAGGGTAAAAAAATAATAATAATTCATCCGAGTCACCAGCCTCAGAAATCGCAAGTTAACAGATTAGAGCCCCACACAGAGTTGTCTGCCACACAGAGTTCCAGCAGCAGACACATTTCTACATCAACTGTTCAGAGGAGACTTCACGAATCAAGCCTTTATGGTCAAATAGCTGCAAAGAAACCACTACTAAGGAAAAGCAACAAGCAGAAAAGATTTGTTTGGGCCAAGAAACACACGGAGTGGACATGATACCAGTGGAAATTTGTACTTTGGTCTGATGAGTCCAAATTTGAGATCTTTGGTTCCACCCGCCATGTCTTTGTGCAACTCTGACAAGTTGAACGCATGGTCTCTACTTTCCTGTTTCCCACTGTGAAGCATGGAGGAGGTGTGATGGAGTGGGGGAGCTTTGCTTCTGACACTGTTGGGGATTTATTGAAAATCATGAACCAACATGGCTACCACAGCATCCTGCAGCAACATGCCACGCCATCCAGTGAACAGCAGTGACAATGTGTGAACTACCTCAGCTGCAAGATGATTTTTTGCATTTAGTATCTCTTACAGCATCCTGACTATGACTGTGAAGAGTATGGCGACAACTGTGGACACAAGGTCAAAGCCAAGAACCCATGGACATGAGCAAATGCTGTATTTCCTTCCCTTAAGATACTCTGCCAGGCCTTTACTGCCTTCAGGTGTTGATTGTTTGTGACTCTTCCTCAACTCAGTTTTGTCTTCAGTGATTGAAAGTATGCCGTATGGCAGCGGTCTCCAACCTTTTTTGCGCCACGGAACGGTTTATGTCCGACAATATTTTCACGGACCGGCCTTTAAATACAACAAAATAAAACCAGTACCGTTACCTAAGTAAGAAGAATTATTCATAACACACAGGAAAAGACCCAGGGAAACCGAGTTAACGATAAAAACGCTTAAAAAAATGATAAAACTCCTGAATAGCATAAATTTCACACCCGGCCTGGTACCAAACGACTGGTACCAAACGACTCACGACCGTGGCTCGGGGGTTGGGGACCGCTGCTGTATGGCCATGCCTCGAGAAACTCCTGGTTTGCTTTAACAGTATTCTTTAAGTCATTAGGACTGTAATCCCTTCTGAGCAGATAGTATGGACACTGCAGAATTAATCCTGCTACTTCTATCAGCAATCACATTATCAGTAAACACTAATGACCCAGTTCCATTGGCCCTTCCATAACATTGCCGCCATGTTTGATAGATAATTTGGTATTCTTTGGATTATAAGCTGTTTCTCTCCTTTTATACACTTTCCTCTTCTCATCATTCTAGTTCAAGTTAATCTTGGTTTCATCTGTCCAGAGATTTTTTTCTTTGCAGTACTGCACATGCTCTTTTAGATGTTTTCTGGCTAAATATAATCTTCCTGATCTTCAGTGTAATCACTGGTCTGCAACTTATTATGAAATCTCTGCATTTCCATTCATGTATGTCTCTTGATTGTAGACTCTGAAAATAATATACCTACCTCCTTGTGACATCCTCTCACTCCTGTTTGGTCACAGACGTTTAATTTGCAGGATATTTTGAAGCGGTAACCAAAGAAAAGAGTATTGTGATCATCCTTTTTGGCTCCCATTCCTGCTTTTCCAGGCTTTTTAGTGTTGCTGAGCTGACCACTGCATTCATTCTTTTTAAGAATGTACCAGATAATTGATTTGGGCACCCCTAAATATTTTGCTATCTATCTGATTTTGACTTTTCAGGGTAATGATGTCCTCCTTCATTCTCACTGACATTCTTTTGGATTTCATCTTGAGAGTTCCAGGGAATAGCTGGATTAAACAACGCAACTACAAGTACAACACTTGGAATTAACTCCAGATCTTTTATATGTCTAATCTGTCATAAAGTAATGGGGGAACTAGTATTTTTATCAGTCATCTGTCTAATTTCCTTTGAGCCTCTAAAAATGAGTATAAAAATGTTCATTATTCCTAAACAGTCAGTGCAATACTTTTGTTAAATCCCTTGGATTAAAGATGAAAGTCTTCAGTTTTTGCATACCAATGAGATACTTACATAGGTCTGCTGAGTGCAGTATTATACCACAGAAGTACTGCTATGAACCACTGTACATCCTGTCACTCCTGTTTGGCCACAGATAATTTGGCTAAAGTGAGAGTACACTACATCCATTCTCTGGATCTACTCTGGATCTACTCTGTGGTCTCCTCCTTGCTACACTGCCTTGCTACTTTTCTTTCTCTTCTGTGAGGGGGTTTGTTTTACAATAGTCATATTTACACTTGTGGCATAAGCAGATTTTGACTTGTAGATGGATTACTGTCCATGCAGTGCCTCCCAAGATAAAAAAAAAAAAATCAAATCAA